TTATTTATTTAATCACTTTCACCAGAGTGTGGTGAGGGTCGCACAACAGAGCGAGGCTCCAAATTAAGTGCGCCCTATATCCCACCCATCCCACCCCAGGGGAGGACATCCATCACACAGTAATCTCGTGTGTGGGAAATTAACGTCTCCTACCCCAACCCTGCAGGAGACGGGACCTCCATTTATTCGTCCCTATCCGAGAAGACTAGAATATCTAACCATTTCTTGATGTTATAGAAAGGTAGCAAATTCTTCTCAATTATTTTAAGACCTTGAGTGTTGGTCCGGCCGGGGCTCGAACCCTCGACCTCCCGCACAACAGTCCAGCGCTCTATCCATTGGTCTAACTGGGCGGCGGTCAATGAGGTTTAAGTGAAAACTTATTTTTAATCTTTGGAATAGATGAATTCTTGACATTTGGTGGTTCACTTACTCCATCTTTAGCTCTCTTACCGAAAAACTTACAGTTCTTAACCAAAGGTAGACAAGGAAGCGTAATCGCCATGTTCGTGTTAACCAACGAGCAAGTACATATTAGTTCTGCCATTTGAGCCCCGAAGCCTGCGAGATTCGAACCGTGACAATTTTGTCCCGGAACACTCGTGGACCTCGCGCGCGCTCACATTACCCGCCGGCTCAAAACGCGCAAGCTTCGCCATTCATATTCATCGCCATTATATTATTCGTGTCAAAAATGCAATCAAGGAAAGCTCATCAATGATTCATAAGTCTGGCAGGTGGAATATCTTCTCTATTGAAAACTACAGGTAAGCGCCGATGTTTTAAATGCAATGTAAAATATACTTAGTCAACAGTTTATCACAATTACATTTGATTGAAGAGTTTTATTTGCGAATTGCCTAAGGCAGGAGAAAAGAGGTTCAGATAACCATTTTAAAAGAAATTTATAAAACGTGAAGATTCTGAAGTTTGTCTAAAAGACCTCACATACTGAAAATAAAAGTATTCAAAATAAACAATGCTCCAAGAACAAGACCTTTCTTTCAGAAGGCGCTTCCGTCAGAATTTGGCCGATATCTCACCACACTACCTTCTGCTTTGCATATGCGAATAATCCAGCAAGGAGAAGTAAAAGAAAAACTCGAGACTTTCTCACGATCGTGGTACAAAGATTGACTGACTTCAGAGACCCGATTCTTCTGCAACTTTATGCTAGGATGTTTTGCGTAATCAAATGTTCTTAGCGACGCATTTCTCGTACATGACGAAATCGTGAAAGCTTTTTTAAAGCTACTTCTCCACTCACCTCCCAAGAAAGACGAGATAGTTTTGTCCTTTGTACACATGGAATGACTGAACTGTCTCAAAGTAGGTAAAACCTCTCGTAAAGTATGTGCACTTGCCGGGACCAAACCCGAATGAACGCAGTTGAATGAGAGAAGGAACTGCTCCTCCCTTGATAACACATGAAACATTCATCGTCACATTGTAAAACTCGCGCCTCAAACAAATATCTGTCGCGTTGTCATCGGTGGAGTTGCGCATATCAATGTGGCTGGTGTTGCTGGGAAGTGTCATTTGAACACTACTGGAAGAATTTGTGCCGTTGACTGAAAGAGTCGGTAAATTTGTTGTGTTCACAAACTTGAAGGTTGGTTTTAAGCATGGACTTTCGGCAATGTTGCCATATACAACAATATCTGCGTCGAGAGCTCTCTGTGCTAAACTTTTAGGGCTCCAGTAGAGATTTTTATATAGACGCTCGCAAAACGCATCTGCTGATGGCAGCGAGGTTAGGGCACAAATGATGGCAGCTAGGAAATACATCTCTAACGCCAAGCTCGGTTGAAAAAATTGGATTGTGTTTGAAATCGTCGACAGTCCCCAAGTTGATTTAATGCGCTGATAGGGTCTGCAACCATTCAATTTTATCTAGCTGTTTTAAACCGAGGCTCAATTCAAGTTTATTGAGTAGGAGAATAGTGCGCCTTCGTCAGTGATTGGCAGTAGCTGAGGCATCTAAATAGCCGTGTTTCTGTGTCTAATGACCAATCAAAACGTCAGCATATGTTTGGGCGCGGTGAACAATATAAATAATTTATAATCATAAAAATCACCTGTAAGCTTAATGTCTTTGGATTAGCTGATGTGTTTTCATCTTTAATAAATGCCGAGGATTTGAGTTATGCGCCCAACGCTTGATATTTGGTGCGACATGAACATAATTGGCAACAGTTGGCTTCAAAACAATTCTTTTTCATCCCAAGATTTTTCTACGATTTCATCAAGACCTTTGAAATCTTACATTCAAAGTGCGTATGCAACCGGAATGTTGTAGGTCTCAGTAAAACGTAGCCGTCTCTTTTCATCTTTTACGATTTATGAAACAAAAGTCCCATTTTCGTTTGGTTCATTTTATAGAAAAGCACGTGCGTAATTATTCGTAAGCTAATATTTTTTTTTAATGCAAAGGTACGGATGAAAGTGCGTGGTCTTTATATATTTAGCCAATCATTTGAGTAAGTTTGTTAAGCAGTGGTGTAGCCAATGAGGAGCCGGTATTTTGTGCCACGTGACAGTGTGACTCCCTGTGACGTCATTGTAAAACGTTGCGTGACACTTCAGACTGTGGGGGATATTGCTAATCCTGTAATATGATTGGTGGAGACCTGCCACGTAGTACATTGGCTAGTGTCCGAACCACCTGTAATAATTACTCTTCTGCAAACGCACTAATAGCAAATCTTTCATTGTGTGGAGTTTAGGCGAAGATGGATCGTTGAGTATTAATGGTTTGCATGAAAAAACCCATTGCACGTTGATTGAAACTGTGAAAAAAGCTTCAACGCTAGCCTAGTACTGCAATATCCTTAGCTAAATAAATAAGATTTTAAACACATGTACAAAGAAGCAGATCCATTTGACTGCAGAAAACCACAAGGATAAAGAAATTTTTAGTTGAAATGTCACTAGCATTGGCACGAGTCTGCCACGACCTCAGTCATTCCACTATGGGGCGATGTGGTTAGTTGGAAGCGAGGTTTCTTAGCTCAAGGATGATGTGACTTGGGTTGTTGTGGCGAGGGAGGGTGGGGAGATGGCAAAGGGACCTGGATTTTCTAACAAACAGGGCAAGGCAAAGAGGGAAGGTGAAAAACGAATAGACCTTCTTTAGGATTTGACATGTAAAGGGATTTTGTATTAAAACACATGCGATTTGTTTGCACTTCAAACATTTTCTAGTTTACACCGTTTATTCCTTTTCCACTAGAAGCTTCAATTAAAGTCAAGGATAAGTGAAATAACATGTTTTCCAATCTTAAACTGTAACTCGATCCTCTTTTATTTCTTCTTCTTGAGTCGAGGTTAATCTGAAACAAAAACGAAAAATTGAGAAAAATACATTAACAGGGATGATTCAGAAAGAGATCTGTTCGCCTCGAATTTTATGATAAATTGGTCAATTGACGTCAACACAGCTCTAAAAACAGGATCGTCCGGTTCGGATCGGACTCGAAATGAGCGAACACCTGCGCTAATTCTGGAGCCGTTTTCGTCATTTTGGATCAATCCGTTTCCGGATTTTTCGTGTTCACCACTGGATAAAACTCAGTGCGAGGTCGTCCAATGATCAGCACCTTATTTAGAGTTTGAATGAACATAGATAGAGAGCTGAGCGCTGGAATTTCGTTGGAGCAAAAGCTGTGGAGATTTTCCTTGTATCTGGATTTCTTCAGCTTTTAAAAATTCGCAACAGCAGCTCTCACTCCTTTATCAACCTCTAATAAAATGGTTAGCTGAGTGTGTCACCCGCTCACGGACGCAACACAGCAGTTTTTTCAGAGTATTAATACTTTTTCTCTGTTACTACATACACACACAGATACAAACTTTATTCTCGTCCTGAAAGGGCTTTTCAGAGAATACACGCTAAAAACCATATCATGAGAGAGCTTTTTCTGTGTGCGCACCTAAGTTGTGGAACAGTATTCCTTTTTCAATTCATAAATCTAGCTCCGTAACTATTTTTAAAGTGCACCTAAACCCAAAATTTTTTTTCGCTTAACGAAATAAGCTTACTTTTTGGAGTATTTCTGTGCAAAAATTTTTTAATTTGCTCAAATCTTTAATTTTCTATGCCCAGTCAAAATACGGAAAATCGGCTGCCATCTTGCCCCACGACCGAGTTTAAAGAAGAATGGCTCTAGCGGGTAATGTGACGTCAAATCGAGAACACGAAAGTCTGCATCTCACACATTTTCACTTGTTTGGGAAGATTGTCGTCGATATTGTCCGAAATATGCCGACTAGGTGTGTTGTATGAAGAATGTATGTTACCTTGGGACTC